CCTTTAGCATCGCGCCAATTCCCAAGGCCGTACAGCGCCTCGCGGTCACCGCTTCCATCTACCAACGCTTTGAACGCGCCACCGTTGGCCAAAAGCACCGCGGGACTTGAAACTCGATCACCTTCCCTGCATCAAGCACGAGAATCTTATCGGCTGTCATGATGGTCTGAAGGCGATGTACGATGATGATCAAAGTGGAATCGTTGAACTCATTGGCGACGGCCTCTTGTAAGGCGATATCCGTCTTGTAGTCAACAGAAGCAGTGGCTCACCCAGTATGTAGACCTTGCTCCTTCGAACCATGGCGCGCGCCATTGCGATGATCTGCCTCTGACCAACACTGAAGTTTGCTCCTCCACTGGATACACTTCGTGTCCAGACCGATCTTATTTTCCTTCTCACCCTCCTGGAGACTGAAGAGACCCGAGGACTGCAGGCAGGAGTTCAACATGGCATCGTCATGTTCTCTGAACGGATCGAGGTTCTTTCGCAAAGTGCCGCTCATGAGCTCAGGTTGCTGTGGAATGATGGTGACACTGCTTCGCAGCGCATTAAGATTGATCGAGGCAGTATCCACACCGTCGATAAGGACCTTGCCGGTGGTAGGTATCATCCGAAGGAACGCCAGGCTGAGTGGCGATTTTCCGGCACCAGTCCCGCCCACTGTAGCGAGAATCATGATTGCACCAGCGTCGGGATCGATCAAAAAGGATATGCATGTCCTTACCAACACCGACCCGTTCGCCCGACTTGATCTCAAAGTTCAGCCCCTGGAAGACTTCTGGCCCATCGATAGAGTACTTGGCTGACAAGTTTCGACGCAAACGGATCCCGTGGCTGGCCAGTATGCAGGTGATTTCCCAGATTCGATCGGGCGAGCCTCCTGGTCGATCTCTACGTAAGCTTTGATACGCTCCATGCTATTGCCTTGAAGGAATTGATCAGTGTCTTGGTTACTACTTCCAAATCTGGTCACTCCAAATTACCTTCGAGTTCAAAATAGTTCGTCATCCGAACCCAGGGCGAAAGTCGGCAGGTGAAGCTGAGTGCCATCGATAAGGAAAAACCGACGATGCTAGCAGATTGTCCTGCAATGTGCCTGTCAGAACCAGTTTCTGAATTGACACTCGCAGAAAACTCACTTTGCCCATAGACTAAGTAAGTAGCGAGCCCGGCGCCGGGCATGCCACCCAAGGCATCTATTCGCAAGTTAACCCAGCTGCGGGAGATATTTGACCATCAGGTCAGACTTTATGAACTCCGCCCACGATTTCAAATACTCACCGGTTTTGATCATAGAGGGCTCGTGTCGGGCGTGTATAGCGATCGATCCGCGCTCTGCTCTCCTTTTTGAAAGAGTCCTCCACTCCATATGCCCGAATAGATGTCAAACCAGCCATTGATGCGTTAAAGTGCTAGTAAATAGGGGATCTAATGGAGTACGCCTGTAAGCAGGCATCAGGAGCCATCTTGCTGTACCACAAACCTAGCGTTACTCATTTCTCTTTTCGCGGGGAGCTGAGCAGCCATGAAGATGTTCCCTGTGAGTGCCCCACCCGAAGCGACGAGTGTACCAGGAATTAAAAAGATTGGGGAGTACAACAGAACTGCACCAAATTTGAACACGAGGCTGAGAGTCTTGCCAAGGAGAGCACTGAACGTCTGCGAAATAACGTCTAGTAAAGCATTGAAGCATCAGAGTATGAGATCTATTTATGTTTCAATAGGCGCTGCACTCACTGTCCGTCGTATTGATGTCCTGTGCGAAGCGAGCTATGATGCGGCCGCTAGGTATCGAGTCAAGCCACCTTAGTGGAGCGTGGAGTATGCTGGATGTTAGCCTCTCATGGGTGATCCCTGAGGCCCGAAGTGAGCCGAGGAGGTAAATGACAAAGGAGAAACTCATGAGCATCAGGCTGAGGAGGAAGATCGCCATGTCTCCAGCGAGATACCAACGAGCGTCGACATCTGACGCTGGATGGTCTTCGCATTGTCTGGCCCAGTACCCGAGGAACCATACATAATAATTGAAAGCCAACTGATCCATAGCCATCAAGCCGAAAAATAGTATCCAAAGTTGCGGACCACCGAAGCCACGGAAGTAGAATATAACTGTACGGACGACGTAAGTCGGGGTTGACTGGTGTCAGTGAATCTCCACGCATATAGCTACTCACAAGCATCCCAGACAATTCTACTTCAGCGACTTCTTCCTTGACCACGAGTTGACCCGTCGATTAGACTTGCAGCTCCAGCCCCAGGAGGGAAACATACCCTCTGATACTGCCTGAACTCGAGCGTCTGCCTGCCACATTGTGGAACTTAGCGCGGGAGACAGTGGGGACGGGTGGAGATTACCTTCTCCACATACTCTTTCTGTACAGCGTGTTGTAGCTTTCCAAACCATCCTGTATACTACCGCCTTCAGCAATCCCCACGCGTTCTACAGAACTCGGGAAGCTCGATACCTGGGATTGGGAGGTAAATGATCATTGTTGCGAGTCCCACGAAAGCGCTCCAGCCCAGGACTGAATACAAGAACGAGATCGATAAGCACAGCTGTAAAGGCGCCAACGCGAGCGAGAAAATGAAGCCCTGAGCTAAGTGAAAGCCGAACGGAAAGCGTTAGCGAGCGCCTGCGAGGAGCCAAAGCTACTGATGAGTAACAGGTTTCTCATATACCTTGCGTGAAGTTGGTCAAATCGGTGCTAACTAGGTTCGTTAACCTCCCCACCAAATTTTTGGTGTATTTCGTAGATTTTTTCGTCTCCTTGTCTTGTTTTCTCGGGCCCTGATTCGGCGAGAAGGACGACGACGCATCAGAAGGTGTTGTCTCAACCATAGATTCTTTTTGCGACCCCTCAGTGCTCTCCTCAGAGTGATCTCGCAGAGTGGGGTCGGTATCGGCAATACCCTCTAGCTGAGAACTCCCTTCGCCATCTATGTTTCCCTCATCTGATACGTTGGCGACGACTTCGGCGGATGCGGCGGCCCCATCGGGTTCCACATCTTCTGTAAAGCGCATTTTCAGCGCCCGCTCGAAGACCAAGAGGGTGATGATATTCTCCATTCGCACGATCATCCGAGCCACCAGAGCAAAATTGAACTCTTGTAGAATGGTTCCGATCATAGGACCAGAAAAGAAAGCCATGATCCACACCCAAGGCTTGATCGTCGCACCTTCTCCCCCCGACTCTAAGTACGCAAGGAGTTGGTTTATCGCATACGGACCCAAGAGGGCCGTGCAGCTCTTGATCAAAAGAGTCACAGTCATGCCTGCGTACATGTATCCTTTTAGAAATTATATTTGTTAGTCGTATTTGAACATTTAGGGTTCTACAGCATCTCAACTCATGATAGGCCCGTACAATGCCAAAAAAGATGTGGCGAGGTTTCCCAACCTTTACCGAAGGGTCCAAATGTGGGAAGGCCGTGGCAGTCACATAAGACGCATGCTCGTAGCCTAGGATCTCAGAAAAGTCGTCGAAGGAGTATGTCAGAAAGGACAGGATCGACGCTGTTTGTTCCGGTGCAGCAACCCCTGGATTCTGGAAGCGCAAGCGCGAGAGCGAGATATTTAGTGACGATTGGACGCAAAGATAAAAATATGGATGTTGATCGTATAGAAGGATCACGAGGCACGTGGACGCGCGGAGAACACAAAGGGATGCCGACTCCACCGAGGGTGAGCAGCGCGAGCCGGAGCCAGGTGATCAATCCATCTGCGGCGTCTGCAGGTTCGATGTCGAATGTGTTGAGAGGGATGGCGTTACGGTAGGCGAAGATACTAAAGGAGGCCAGTAACAGGATCGTAAGATGCCTCGAAACTAGCTTTGCGATCTGGCCATGCGCCCGAAGAGCGACTAGGGCCAAAAGCGAGCTATACAACCGAGGGGAAAGGGTTCAATTAATTGTGTCGCACTGTGGTTTGACTGTCAGTACTTAAAACACGCCTACATAGAAGAATGACTGAGCTGTTTCTGAAGGTGCACCTATCTTTTCTTCGTGAGGATGGATGTTCATTGCGACGTAGATAGATGTGCCACATAGTAGTAGACAGATGAGAAGCTTTAGCACCGCAGGTAGACAAGCCGTTTTGTATGTTTGCATCCGCTTCCGAGTCAGCGAAGCTGGGGGAGTGAAGGGGTCTGCATGAACGCCGTCATGCCGCCGACCAGAAGTGCGATACCAAACATAGCAGAAGAGTCGGCCCCACGGGATCGAATGACCAATGAGAGCGACTGCTGATACGCCGGCAAGGTACACTGGAAACGAGAGACTATCGCGAGGGACGTGGTATCTGGAATTGCTGGGTAAGTGTCCGCTATCAGTAAAGAGACGAAGTTCAAACCTACTTTCCGGGACCTAGCACCCATCCTAGCAGCGTCATATTGGACGGATTGCTTGGCAGAAAAGCGTTTTTGGTTGAGCTCGACTCATGAGATTTGAATCATTCATATAAGTACATGTGTAGGAGCGAAGCATCTGGGTGATTTCTCTTCCTAACAGGTTCTTTTGCAGAAAGTGTGTTGTAACCGCGTGACCGTCTTCGATATAGAAGCCTTGAACTGACGTATGGAAAATTAGGTCGGCGTACGAAACCGCACGTCGCGATATAAGTTTTAAACATTTGTTAGAATGTTTGCCTAGGACATCATGGCCTTGAACCGCGTATTGCAAGTCACAACGCCGAGTCAATCCCAGATGCTCATTCATTCATTCATAAATCGCATCGATTTCCGGATCTTATTCGAATTTTGAGCTTATAAAGCGCTCAGGCGTCCCGATATACCCCTGTTGGCCTTGTGTTGTCTGTACCTGCCAGTGAGTAGCAACCTGCACTGCGAAGTAACTAACTTGGCCTGAAAGATCAGGCCACATTTTTGACAGAGACTAGCACATATACATCGCTCAACGTAATCCCTTATCTGCCTCACACCGTTCACGAACTATCAGAACGTCGGCTGACTTCATCGAAAAGTCCAGGAAAGCAAAAGAACTGCCCCCAGACCGATTTGAACGATCGACCTCGTCATCCCCTGATGGACTCGCTCTGGTGCAAGTACTAGTGACGCGCTCTACCACTGAGCTATAAGGGCCTTGTGGATGTGCACTTCACCCACACTAACCCGATCGGGTGAAATAAGGGACATCTCACTTACCCTGACACGTGGTCGCCAAACATTGCAACCCAGGTTACCTAGGCATGAGCCAAACCAGACTATTATAGCTGGTGAATTGGGCTGGGTATTAGATGTCACATGACGATAATAGTGTTGGAGTGGCACGGAAGTAATAGACAATGTAGGGCGGTGTTGGATTTTCCCTCTACCAACGTATCTGTCTGTCCTGAGCCACTTCAACGACAGCTTTCGCATCCGCTGCTGCTGATGAAAAACGGCGGAAGGCGCACCTTCCGTGGAACTCAGATGCAATGTATTCCTTTCAAGATGAACTTTGCGGCTTTACAATCGTAGCTGTAGATAATGGATAGCCTATCATATTTGGGAAGCAGTCATTTGTAGTGTCTATTTGACTATATCAGATTTGACTCTGTAGGGTTGGACGCCAAGGCCTTTAAGGGCACAAGAACCGGCTTAGAGAGCCAGAAGCTTAGTAACCGCCATGGTACTTGAACCCGACGCCTCATGCCCCTTGACCAAGTCATACAGAGCATCTCGATCACCACTTCCGTCTACCAGTGCCTTGAATGTCCCTTCTTTCTCCAATAGAGCCGCAGGACTGTCAAACTCGACCACGTTGCCAGCATCGAGCACGAGAACCTTGTCTGCCGTCATGATGGTCTGAAGGCGATGTGCGATGATGATCAAGGTCGTATCGTTGAATTCCTTTGCGATGGCTTCTTGGATGGCCGTGTCGGTCTTGTAGTCGACAGAAGCAGTCGCCTCGTCTTTTGAGGACAGGCAGTAGTTAGATTGGTGATCGGCTCGATTTTTGCTTAAGCGTCAAGCTAGACTCGCCTAAAATGTAGACCTTGCTCCTCCTGACCATGGCCCGCGCTAGCGCAATGATCTGCCTCTGCCCGAGACTGAAGTTGGTGCCCCCACTGGACACTTCAGTATCAAGTGAAATCTTGTTTTCGTCGTCATCCTGTTGGAGGCTGAAGAGGCCCGACGAATGCAGACATCCATTCAGAGTGGCATCGTCGTGCTCTCCAAAAGGGTCAAGGTTTTGTCGCAAGCTTCCACTCATGAGCTCGGGTTGTTGTGGGATGATGGTAATGTTATTGCGAAGGGCGTCCAAGTTGATCTCGTTGGTATCAATGCCGTCGTAGAAGACCTTTCCGGTAGTGGGGATCATGCGCAAGAAAGCGAAACTGAGAGACGACTTTCCAGCCCCGGTTCTCCCAACTACATCAGCGAGGAATGTCAGTGGCCAATTAAACCATCACCATGGAACTGATAATCTCACCGATTCCAACGCGCTCGCCTGCCTTTATCTCGAAGCTCAGATTGTGTAATACCTCGGGCCCATCGTGCGAGTATTTGGCAGAAAGTCCCTCGACGCGGATGGAACCTGAAGACGGCCAGTACGCGGGTGGCTTGTGAGAGTCGACTGGCTGAGGCTCCTGATCGATGTCCACATAGGCCTTGATGCGCTCCAAGCTATTGCCTAGAAATTACGGATCAGCGTGCGGCTGCCATCGAGCCAAGCCGACTATGGCGCCGCTTACCTTCCACCTCGAACATGTTGAGGATACGAACCCAATACAACAGCATGCTTGTGAAACTGAGAGCCATTGTGAGCGAGAAACCAGCAATACTTGCATCGGTCTCTGAAATGTCAAGACAATAGAAGTTAGCTAAATGAGCCTGATATTATTCGTTGATAATACCACTCACTCCGCCAGTATACCATGTACGCAGCAAGAGCCGATGCGAACATGCCTCCAAGCGCATCGATACGAATGCAGACCCAGCTTAGAATGTGTGTGACTCGGGGTTAGTACGGAGGGGATGATAATCACCCTGAGGGTGGGTGTACTGACCGGTTCAGATCATAGAAAGCACGTGCAGGACGGGTGTATCCATCAATCCGCTTCCGACTCTCAGACTTGAAAGCCTCTTCTGCCCCATAGGCACGGATCGACGTCAAACCAGCCACAGCAGCGTTGAAATGGGAGTAGACAGGACTACGAGAGTTGCTCATTTCTCTTTTCACGGGAAGCTGGGCTTTCATATAAATGGACCCAATCCAAGCACCTCCGGCGCCCACAGCGATTCCGGGGAGGAGGAATATCGGGGAGTACAGCAAGACGGCAGCGAACTTGAGAAGGAGTGAAGTGGTCATCTCGATGAGCGTACTGAACAAGCTGGGTATCATGGCTGGACGGCGGTAACTGGTGAGCATTCAAGTATCCCAGATTAAGATTGAGGAGAAACTTACTATCGATGGCCGTGATATCTTGTGTGAACCTAGAGATTATTCGCCCAGAAGGCGTCGAATCCAGCCAACGAAGCGGGGCGTTCAATATAGCGCGTGTCAGTTGTGCGTGGGTGCGTCTCGTTGCCCGAAGCGTCCCGAACAGATAGACGAGGAACGTAATGGCGCCGAACAACAGAGCAACCAGGATGATTGAGCTGTACCCACTGATTACGCCGGCCTGTCAGCATCGCATTTTTTTTTCGTATTCCAAAGCAACTATTCAACTTACGACAAGTAGAGCAGTGCGTTGACCTCAGACCCAGGGTGAATTTCATATTGCCGAGCCCAGTACCCCAAAAACCATGTTTGGAAATTGGTGGTTGCCTCCTGTAGGATGACACAGGTGAAGAAAGTCATCCAGAACAGCGGTCCCCCAAATCCGCTAAAGAAGAATGTGACTATTGAGTTGATAGTCCAAATCAGTCTATCGTAGCAGTATGAACAGCGATCATTTAGACTCACAAGCACTCCAGACAATCCGGCCCTCGGCGGTCTCTTCGTTTGCTATTAGCTGTCCGCTTGGCTTCTTCTCCTTCGCGGGAGCCTTGTCATCGACGACCTGATCCTCCTTCTTTTCGACCTCGGTAGTCTCCTGCGCGGCTTCGCGCAGCTCAAGATCTTTGCTGAGTGCTTCGGGAATGCTGTCTTGGCTTGTAACACGACCATTAGATCCAACGGTGACAACGAAATCAGCAAGGGGTGCGGTCATCCCGATGTTATGCGTCTGTGTGACCGTGGTGAGGGACCTGCCATAGCCCGTCACGCGGAGAGCTGCTCACCACTAGAAGAACGGTACGGCCTTCGATGAGATCTCCATGAAGACACTTATCCACAATCCAGCGAGATGTATGGACGTCGAGGGCTGATAAAATGTCATCCAGAAGGAGGATCGATGCCGGAGAATACAAAGCGCGAGCAAGAGCGAGGCGAGCCTTGAAACATTCGGTAAGTTAGGTTGCAAGATGATTGATAGAAATTAGATATGTACTTTCTGGCCACCGCTATATCCCAGATGAAAGGGTGTTCAGAATCAGGAACCTCTTGACAAAACAAGTGATCAATATAGGTACCTTAGCGTCAGACCTTTCTCTCCAACCTCTGTCGCGTCACCAGCATCGAAGAGCTGGAAGTCGGTTTCAAGGGCACATTGATGGACGACTGAGAGAAGGGTGGTTAGCTTAAACGGTTTTGTGTAAGCCGTGTCGGATCACCTTTATGATATCGAGCTTCGTCAAACGTGCTTCCAAACAGAATATTATCCTGTGACAGTGCTTCAGTTGGGTCCTCCTGTCAACTAAAGGTCAAAAGGCATGCGGTCACACACCTTAATGGTCGCATTCTGAATCCATGATTCCTGCGCACAGAAAGCTATACCGTCCTCTCTCGGAAGATTGAGGAACGAGTCGATGTGTTCCCTTTTGAAGTGCATTTCGCCAAGAAGCGCCATGAGGAGGGACGTCTTGCCTGTGACATTGATAATTTAGCGGAAAAATTGACGAGAACTATCAATCAATCCACCAACCTGAACCGGTAGGTCCTAGGATAAGGTTCAACTTTCCCTTCTTGAAAAACAGGTCACCATCAACCCGCAGTTGGAAGTTCCGCTGGGAGGGCGTGGTGGTTCCACTCGAGCCAGCACTACCACTGTCGACTTTCCAGGCGAAGGTTGCATTCCTAAAGCCGATTGAGTCCGGGTCGCCGGTAGGAGGCAACGCGGATACAGAGATATCTTGCTCGGGTTTAGTGAAGCGATCCAAGAGATCCGTCTTCAGATTGTGCCGTTAGATAACTTGAGGGAGCGATTATTGAGCACACCGGCGTACGTACTTCTTTGATGAAAGCGTTGATGCGGTCGATAGACACTTTACCAGCAAGGATTTGAGTTACGAAATGGAATGCTATGGAGGATCTCAGTTAAGTTCAACTGGCATGTTGGGAAGCAAACAAACGCCGACTTACTCATATATAGCTGCTCAGTGATCAAGTCGAAGACGGCGATCGAACTGAAGATTCGCGATGCGGTGAGATCTTGCTTCATGATGAGGGTCTAAACCGAGGAGCAACATGTATGAGACAGGCAGCTGTTCAGCAAAACGATCGCTCTCACTCACAAAAGTTGCAAAGGTGGTGATCGACACCAAAAGAGGTAGAAGCTGACTGCAAAAGAGGCCAAGAATATTTTGATTCAGCATGATCCATGTTGAACCAGAAGAACAGACTTGAGTGTTCGCTCGCGTACGTGATGCTAAAGTTCCCGAGGTTCCAAAGTGATCGTCTTCTGATATACTTGAGTTCTTCGTCACGTTTCTCCTCTATCTGCTTGTTCACTCGATTCTCCCAACCGAACAGCTTGATCATGCGGATGACATTGATAGCTAGAGAGAAAAAACTTTCAGTCTAGCCCATAAAAGCAGGAGAGGCCTCAAGACCTACACTCTGTGATTGATTGGACGCGAGCATCGGTCTGGATAATCAAATACGTGAGCTAGAGAACACAACGGCGTACAATTGAGATTTACCTTCTTCATCTGTTCCACTTGCAAGCCATGAAGGAGTGTGACAAGTTTTCCTATTGCGGAAATACGGATGAGATCCACATCGTTACTAGGAAAACACAATGTGTGAGGTCTTTACCCGGGATTGGGATTGTCAG